AAAACCCAGAATTCCAGGCGCCAGAGTATGCCTGTTCGCAGGTAGTGCTGTGAATAATATAGTCCCATTCCCATTTTAGAGGACTTCATTTCCCATTCCCAGTGGCCAAATCCCAGTCCCAGCAACCCAAATCCCATTTTCCCAGTCTAAAAATAGATCAATCCCATTTCCCATTTTACCCCTTCAGGGCCCTCAACGAAATATTGACATTTGACATCACAGCGAGTATACATTTCTTTCGGCCAGGGGCTTTCCCCGAGATTTAATTTTATAAAACAGTTTTAAAAAAAAACGATGAAAATTCTGTCTGTAGTATGACTAATTCCGAGTTTTCCAATTTCATTGAACATTATTATTTGTTAAACATGCAGGTAAAGGTATTTGTTAAAGAGGTATAAACAAAGCGAACAGAGCGCAGTTTGTATAGTATGTCACAATCAGGACTCGTGACATTGAGGCGCGCAGAAGACACTGGACACACTGGCATTGAGTGACTCTATATCCATGAAGTCAAACTGTACTCAAGCAATTTGATTCAAGTGTCAAACCAAAGAATAATGATGAAAGACATATATTTACATAATCAAGCTTCATTCAGTGTGGTGTAAGGTGATTTTATCTGTTAATATCAATAATTAGGTTTACTGATAAAGTATGCTCGATTTCGACACATTTTCAAATTTTACAAAGTTTGCGCGCTTGTCATTTTTGTCAAATGGTAAAGCAGAAAGATATTATTGGCGATTTGTGTTGACTAATGTTAGTAGTTTATAGAAAAGTTAAAGTCATGTGCCAATCAAGTGCCACGATTTTGAAATAAGCTTTCAAAGTTTATATATTTTGAGACTATATCCGTTATCCGTTCAGGGGGGTCAATAACTGCGTTGTTTTCTACTTTATACCAAAGAATAATTATCAGAAATATTATAAGACATATCAACGACGAAAATAGAAGGATAAGTCTATATTTCTGAGCAAAAATTTTGAAATTTAGGTATGAATTTGATCTAAAAAATAGCGCTGAAAATATGTCGATATTTTGCCTTCATTCAGAGTTCAAGTTGGTTACCAGCCGCTCGAACTTCAATCGCCCCCCAAAATAATTTAAAGGAAATTTGAGTAAAATGAAATCGATTTTAGTTGTTCCCAAGGATAGATCTTCAAAATACTAGAGTATGAGAGAAATCTATTTTTGAGCCCCATATTGACCTGGAGGTTTTTACGGAGACAGCCTCTTAAGCACTTGTATATCAGATATAGACCGACTGCTCATGTTTTAACTAGTACTTAATAGGCCCTGTAAACTGTAACTATCAAATAGCATACAAATAATTTACACATTGCATATATGCCTGACAATTATACATTCAACGCACAATTCAAATGCCCATTTGATATATGCGTATCCCATTGGATCCAATGGACAACTCTAATGTCCACTGGACATATCTATGTCCATTGGATCCAATGGACAACTGAAATGTCCATTGGACATACGCCTGTCCATTGGATCCATTGGATCCAATGGACCATTGGACATACTCCCTTTGCCATCTCACAGGCCTGCTGCCTGCATGGGGTCGATGTCAACCTACATACCTAATTTTAAGAATTTTTTATCACTGCACATTTTATGCCAAAAATTTCCGAATGACTAAGAAACTGATTTCCGAATCATTCGGAAATTTTTGGCGACCTCCCCCCCCCACCCCCTCCCCCCCCCGTCTCCAAAAAAATTTTGGTCAGTGTACCATTTTAAGGGTCAAAATTTTTTTCCGGACACACCAAAAGCCAGATATTAACTAAAAATTGCCTGAATCCCATGATTTTCGTACAAAAAACATATACTATTATTTAATTCGATAATTTGGCAGTCATCATTTCAATTTCAATTAAATCATTCTCTTGTGTTAATTAACAACTTATCAAAGCAAATTTTATCACTGCACATTTTACATTTTATCACTGCACATTTTACTTTTATCACTGCACAAATTGGTTATCACTGCACACTAAAATTAGGTATGTCAACCTATGACGTCATTCCTGTTAACTTATTTACCGCACTACCAAATGTCCACTGGACATATGCCTGTCCATTGGATCCAATGGACAAAATCAAATGTCCACTGGACATATCTATGTCCATTGGATCCAATGGACAAGTGAAATGTCCATTGGACATATGCATGTCCAATGGATCCATTGGATCCAATGGACCATTGGACATACTCCCTTTGCCATCTCACAGGTCTGCTTACCTGCATGGGATCGATACCCACATATGACGTCATTCGAAATAACTTATTTACTGCACTACCAAATGTCCAGTGGACATATTCCTGTCCATTGGATCCAATGGACAAATCAAATGTCCACTGGACATATCTATGTCCATTGGATCCTTATGCCTGTCCATTGGATCCAATGGACAAATCAAATGTCCACTGGACATTTCAATATGTCCATTGGACATCTTGCAGAGGTATTGGACCTCCAAAATGTTGTCGATCCGTACCATTGGTAACGGATGGACTGGAAATTCACGATCGGAAAATATGAAATGTCGATCCGTGAATCTAGTGGTGAATTCTGTCATTACGATTAGTAAGCTATAAATATGTTTACTTTTAATAAATGTTGTTATGTTGTTAAGTTATTAAAAACTAAATAACAATAAACAATTGCGGATATAGTAAACAAAATGGCGGCACAAATTTATACTATTTAAACTACTGTTTTCGTGGCTTTGTTTTAAAATAAAGAATGTAAAAGAGAAGAAAAATACATAACAGGCAACAAGATATGCTGCTGAAACCATTTAAGTAGGTTTTTTAATTTTAAACTCGTTTACGCTGTAGAGTTTTTGTCATGAAATACAAATATTGTTGTATGAATGTTGTTCAATGTTGATATTTGTTTCGTCTGTTGATATTTGTTTCGTCGCTATATAACAAAACACTTAACGTCTTTTCCCTGTCTCGGAAAACATTGAGATTCTCGGGAAAACAAAATTAAACTAACTAGTATTTCCCTTGGGTGCAGACATTAAGTGTATACTATACTATACTACACTATACTTGATATTTTAATCGTTGAATATGATAAATATACGATCTTTATATTCGCAATCAGTGTTATTTCGGTCAGCGTGTTCCTAGCCCGCGCACAGGCACTGCTCCGGGTGTGAAATCTGCAGTGATGGCTTGAATTAAAATCGTTTTAAAAAGTTGTAAAGGAGGGTTACTTAAATAATCAAATTTTCCTCGGACGATTAGTATTTGTGTTGCAAGGGCTTGGCGAATATTTCTTACTTGTTCCGCGTTTTTGTCTTGTGCGGGTGAGGCGATATGTTGTCCATGGAGATATAAATAATGACGAAATCGAACAGGTCGACGAAAGGCAGTGGAAGAGAGAAAATTTTACTGTGAAACAAGAGGTCTTCTTTACTTGGATCGTGCGACCGTGCTTGAAACGTATAAAACCTATGCCTAACGTACCCCAACCGTATGTCAGCGTATACCAGCGTATACAAGGGATATCTTTATAGGCTAGTACGATTTGCAATAGTGTGACAGGGTCTTTAAAAGGGTGAATTAATGGTGTAGCCAGTGCGTACATAACATATAGGCAAAAGTATAGGATAGGGATATGAAGACTTTTGAAATGAAGCATTTATATATGGAGTAAGCGACGTGAATAAAAAGTTTAAATATAAGATTGACTTACCATTTACATAGTACTTGGAAACAGAGACCAGTCGATGTCGTGATCGTAAGCCGATTTCAAAGCGTTGTCCAACAACTGTATGCGGTTAGACATAGTTGTTTTAAAAAGCAATGTTTTCGGACGGAGAGAGTATTGTGTAAGTCAACCAGTACGAAGAAACTCTGTGCAGAATGAGGGCGGTAAGGACGCTATACATTTGAATACGATGCTGTTAGTGTTATAACGCAAGTGTCAAATGTGAGGTGACATGGTCATAGCCGACAGAGTCAAAAAACAATAGCAGGCGACAATTTCAAGAAATAAAAAACAAAATATAATCAGAAGATTAACATCTTGAAACGCAAGAACGAACCCAAGAACAAGAACGATTTCGTGAAATTTAGATTTTATTGAAAATAATCATGACACTAAAACCAAAGTAACAATATTGCAACTTATATCTTGAGAAGTTGGTAATGGATGACATCATCATATGGAAGTCTCAATCAATGAACCATGACAGGTTTGCAGCGCAGGAGTGTGATAAAACGTAGGTGTAACATTATGAAAAAAGGTTGAGTTCTTTCCTTGCTTTAAGTCCAGAATTTAAATTAGGTGAATGATATTTAATATGAAGTGCTTCAAGCAACAAGAGGAAATTAGGTAACCTGCGAGAGTTAATTAGGCTGCTTTCCACTGTTGCGCTTATACTGCGCACGAACAGGCACGTAAAACTTTAAATCCGTTTAAATGTTACTTATGAAATAACGAAATAAATAGAGCAACAGAATTTAGTGTTCTCCATGTTTTAGTATGCATTTTTGAACTTAACTATATTTAAAGTTTTACGTGCGTGTATATATAGGTGCTCCAAAGGTCGTAGGTTCGATTCCCACCGTGGCCGGGCATATTTTTCAAGCTCGCCCGGTGTGGATATACACTTAGAGTAACATCACAAACATCATATTCACCTGAGTACACAACACCAACATAGAAAAAACCGACTGCAATGTTTTTTCCATACATGTCCAATATCACGATGCGACACGGATCGTGAATATAGTTCACGATCCGTAACACATGGTGAAACAATCACGATGCGCCACGGATCGCGAATATAGTTCACGATCCGTAACACATGGTCAAACAATCACGATGCAACACCGATCGTGAATATAGTTCACGATCCGTAACACATGGTCAAACAAGCACGATGCAACACAGATCGTGAATATACTTCACGATCCGTAACACATGGTAAAACACCTCAAGCTGTGCATGTTTACCTCCAACAGTGCAACAAACACTAATGATGCAATTGATGCCCACTAAATCCGTGCACATCGTGCGTATGGTGAAAATAAACAGATATTTTCATTCTTATTACTGTACATACGTTTACATTTTCATTTATCATGCAATGTGTTTTGTTATTACAATAGCTCATATATGTTTACTGACATTTTCATATATGTAGTGTGTATGCGTCGTTCTCCAAAAGGCGAAACTAAAAGGAATGAACATATATTTTCATTGTTATTACCTCATGTATATTATACATTCTAAATAATATATCAATGCATGTGTATGCCTCGTTCTCCAAAAAAGCACGAATAAACACGCATTCTCATTGTTAGCCTATATATAAGCTCCTATATATTAATATTATCAATGTGGCCGCTAAATTATCAGTGTTATATATTAGCTACCTTATTTGCTTATGTCTATAGTCCTGATTTGTTTGTGGCTAGTGCGGTTTGCCTCGCATGCAGAGGGTCCTGAAGGGGTAAAATGGGAACTGGGATTGATCTATTTTTAGACTGGGAAAATGGGATTTGGGTCGGCTGGGACTGGGATTTGGCCACTGGGAATGGGAAACGAAGTCCTCAAAAATGGGAATGGGATTGAGGTAATGCCAGTCAATTCTCAATTTTTCTACGTTTTAAGTATTTTAAAATACAATTTTGATCCGTTTTTGGTGTCTTTGGTCATGATTTTTGTTGTTAACTATATTATTCGCAGCACTACCTGCGAACAGGCATACTCTGGCGCCCGGAATTCTGGGTTTTCTGATTATGCGTCTCTCAGAATGCTGCAAATGCCATTTCCGGGATTCAAATTTAAAAATTTTCCGTGCCTTCGGCAAGAGCCCCCTCCCCAATATTTCATAAAGTGTTCGCCACTTGCACACACGGTGGCTTAAGAGAGGATGTCCACAAAAATCAAACATAAAGCGGCCACGACTGAAAAATCGATTTTGCTCAAATTTTGCCCAGATATACCTTATTATATCGGAAAATGCACCATATATTTTTTTAGGTCAAATTCTTTTTTAACTTTGAGAAAATGCCGTTTTAACACGACCACCCTAAATCGCCATTTTTTGGGGGAAAATATGCGCTGATTTTACAGATAAATTTGACGACGACAACCGTTTCTAATCGATCTGAAACCCTAAAAATCTTGTTTTCGGTTATTCAAAGGACTGTGTACATGACTTACAGGAAATCTGAGTTACTTTTAGGAATAGAAATAATCGTAGTTTTGGAGCACACTATCTTACTTCATTTACGATACCCTCTTAACAAAATCGATTTTCACCATGCGATAAAGCTCCAAATCGATCATGCTTCTACTAGTTGGCTCTTTAATAAACAAGCTTTCAATTGACGTAAATACTTCTTTTGGCAAATGAATACGCGATAAACGACAGCGCGTTGAAATCTTCCGTTTTTGACGTCTTGCAAGTCAAACGCTGTTAATTTATACACCGTCAAAGTAAACAATTTAATCAAGTATTCTAAGTATTTTACCTTTTGAGAAAAAACATATTCTTGAATGGGGACTTTTCGCTTTGCTAAGTTTAAAAGTGGTCCAGAAATCCCGGTATATTTGTAAAAAAAATCATCAAACATCCAGTATTTTGAGACATTGTTGACGGTTGCATGATAACTTCAGATCATTATTCAACGTGAATTACGACCCGGCCGTTTGACTTTAGCGCTAACATATACAAATCGATGAGCTATTTAAGGATTATATTTGCTACTAAATTCCCCAAAAGAATTGGAACTACAACTGCTGTTTTCAGAGGTTTTGATCCATTTTGTCCATATTAATGTACCATTTTATTTATCGACTGATGTTTACAAATACGTAAGTTAATTATTAAGCAGCTGCATGTTAGCGTGCGTGTACATGTGAAATGAACGTTTATAATGTTTATCCATATAAGGAGTTTTTATTTTTAGTTTACCAGCCCTTATATTTGAATAGTCGTTTTCTTTCAAGTTGTTTACTTTTTTATACTCTGCAAAGTTGATTCCGAAATGTTAAGGTATTCGAAAAAACTATCGAACTTTTCCATGATATTTACAGAGAAACGTCACAGCTGTAAACCCCCCTCTCCCACCCCCAAAACGAACATGGACGTTTCTTGTGGAAAAAATCGATATGTGAGGCTTCCCTAAAACTGCAAGGTTTACACTATTGAATTAAAATCCCACAGACCACAACGATTATATACGTATTGATTATAGTAGACGACAGTAGACGCGTACGTGCATGTTGCGGAAGAGGTTATTTCGCTGCATGCAGTGCCGTAGCTAGCATTTATAGTTGCGGGGGTGTAGGCTAAAAATTTCCGAATGACGAAGAAAATTTCCGAACATTCGAAAATTCTTGGCGACCCCCCCTCCCCCCCCCCCGTCGCCAAAAAAATTTCGGTCAGTGTACCATTTTAAGGGTCAAAAAATTTTTCCGGACATACCAAAAGTGAGATATTAGCTAAAAATTGCCTGAATCTCATGATTTTCGTACAAAAACCATATACTATTATTGCCGTAATTTTCCGAATGGCCATCCCATTTTCCGAATATGTCAAAAGTTGGGGGGGGTTAACCACCCCCCCAATACCCCCCCTCGCTACGGCCCTGGCTGCATGGCCTCAGAGTGACAACAGGTACCTTGGTTCTAGAGGTTTAAAATAATAAACCTCTGTTTGAAAGCGGCAATTAATTCATCGAGCCGCGCCAATCAGCTTGAATTAGGGTAGATAGTTATGATAAGACAAGGGCGGCGCCAGGGCTGCCCATGCAGGGAGGCGGCAAAGGGGGCAATTTTCTCCGCGACCCCAGCTCAAGGAAGACAGGCAAATACAAATTTGCAAGGCGATAAAAAGTTTGTCGACGAAGGGGGGTAATTGTGGTTCACCCCAAGGGTGTAATTGGCCCTGGGGCCCCATATTTCACTGAGCTGGTTTGGGCTGCGCCAGTATTTCTCCGACGGGGGAGTCATCAGTGCTCTCTTTTGATCTTTGTCAATTGGCATTAAAACCGCAAGAACTACCGACAAGTAACCAGGGCCGGATTAACGTCGCGCGAGGCCCGTGGCAAATTTTAGCGCGAGGCCCCCAAACCTCCCCCTTTCCGCTTTTTATGAAAACCATTGAATTTAAAGACACACAAAAGTGTTAAATAATTTTTTTTCAATATTTCAATTTATTTGCATCAATTATAAACGAGATAATGGCCTGCCTGGCGCAGTTGGTGGATATAAACAGGATCATAATATAACAGCTCAACGCAACTAGAGATTATATGAACACGAGTATTGCATATTTTCCCGTGGCCGGCCGTGCTAGGGCGAACTGCCAAGCCTAGGGGCCCTAAATGCGCGAGGTTCCTAAATTCGCGAGGCACCTAAAATGGGTGTGTCACAATAGAAAATGGCCGTGTTCTCGTAAAAATGGGCGTAGCACAGTAAAGCGCGAGGCCCGCGGCATTTGCCGTATTTGACACGTGGTTAATCCGGCGTTAAACGAGCAACAAGCTTTCATTTTCTTTAAACGCGACGTGTGGGGAGACAATAATAATTTGTGGTGTCGCACTGGGCCAACATATCTCAATGCTGTATTTTTGGGTACTAGTACGTACTTATGAAAAATAAGAAGATCAATAGACATTAGTGTATCAAAATAAAGTAATTTTACTGATTATTT